AAATAAATGTCATCAAGTAGTTTTTTACTGAGGCACAATTAAACCCGTGAACAATCTGCGAAGTGTGTCCATAATTATTGTTGCAACAAACTATTCCGATCGGCCTTTCACATAAAGCGCTTCAATCGTGTCCATCTCAAAGCTCTTGGTCATTCTACGATGATACTGTGAGCCGACTCCCCCCGTAAACCTCGTGTGGAAAAGTTTCGATCGATTCCCGCGACACGTTCTCAATGGCACCCAAGACTGTGCCGAGGCCACATATCTAGAGCTATTGATCCCATTCATACTCAGATCTGCTTTTTCTCGATTCACTATGCAAAAAATATATTTTCGATAGCTCAGGCTTTCAGTGGTTCCCAAGCGGCTCTCGAAGACTGGAAATTTTGTAACGCTGTACCTCTCTCATCTAATATTTTGGTAACCCTGTGGCCTTACATCAACATAAAATTTCATGTATACAAACGGTGACGCCCATTCTTTACAGGCTTGTAATTATATCTAAGCAGGAAATTTGCCAGAGACCGAATGAAGAGGTTAGCTATGGAGATTCTACGAGTCAGGATTTTTGGAGATTTCGAAGGATATTCATGACTACCATAGGTCTGATAGATTTCCTTCAACCTCTCTTCCTTCCTCTTCTTTCATCTCTCTCCGTTTTTCTTTTTTACCATTCAGGTGGACGAGTTCTTCCTCTGTTCCTCTGCATTACTTTCACAGAAGCTTCTCACATTCCTAAGCTCGCGATGCGACGAAATCTTGTTTGAAACCGAACATTACACCGGAGATTTTCTCCCCAATGCTTTTTTGACGGCGAAAAGTCGCCCTGAGACTGACTGGTGTTTTCCAACAGTAACTTCGGTTCGAAGAAAAATAAGCGTTTAGGATAAGCCGTTGAATGTATATTTTCACATGGAAAACTTCTCGTTATAGTCGGATGCTTGGAGCATTCCACCATGCCTGTTCAGTAAAGACCGCTTTGCCTCTTACTCATTGTATTTTTTTATTTGTTAAGTTAGGAATCACAAACAATTTTTAATGGTGTTGAAAACACGTTCAATATGTTCTGGATCGGGAACATTAGGAGCTAACCGTACTGAGGGAACAAGTGATCAGGCTCTGGGGCACATAGGCTAAAACTCAGGGCCACGAGGAACTGAACGAAGCATTTCTCACAAGTGCCTTACTCGCACCTTCGTAGAGCATGTGTCCCATTTTTGTTGCACAACGCTGAAATGCAGAGATTACGAAGAGCTATCGCTCGCAAACTTCCGCCTATTCCAGGCAGCCACGCCTTCCTACTATTAGGTGCCACTTCTTCTTACACCTAGCGTTAGTCCTGCGCAGTCTCACGGTCGGCTAATTTGGCGACCCATAACAAGGCAATTATTATATCTACCACAAAAATATGAAACGCCTCATATTTTATCTAGAAGCTGGTGCGAAAAGTGAGTGCCTGATGAGAAAAGGTTATATGCAATTCCGTAGAATATGGGCAACGGTGGCAGGTGGCGCCAAATACCACGCACAGGGTCGGGAGTAAAACAGAAACAGAACAGGTCAATTTGGTTTTCCTTCCCCGGCACCTTCATTTCTTTGGTACAAAACTTGTGTGACAAGATAAAAGCGGACGGAGTTCTGACTGACTAGCAATGCAGTTTGGGTCAACTACCACTTGAAAACTGCTGTAAGTGCTGTTTTCTTCGCATGTCTCATATGTTAAGCATTGATCCGGCTCCCCCACTTTCTTCACGATTTGGGGCGCGGCCGCGGCGAGCGCGGACGAGTCGATAGTGCCCGCGAACTGTGCGGGTAAATTTGAAAACGCTCCACCACCACAGTTCGCGGGCACTATCGACTCGTCCGCGCTCGCCGCGGCCGCGCCCCAAATCGTGAAGAAAGTGGGGGAGCCGATGTAACCACCCTGCTTCACTAGTTTCATTGTTTCTGTACCGTTTATGTGCTGATTAATTCCTTCTCCACATTTTCGGCCTACAACTGTGCTGTCGGGGGAAACGCCTCTTCGTTTCGCGCGCATCAAGGCTCAAGCTCGAGTGATATAAATGAGTGCTCTTAATATATTGCTACCCTTTCATCAGGCTAAGCGAAGTCTGCTTCTTAAAGCAAACGTTCGCTTCGTGCATGAAAAAAATTTACTTTTTTTCGCCGCTACCTTACGCTTCTTCTTTACCCTCCCTTTCAAAAACGAGAAGAGCGTCGGGTGCAGACCATACACCACAAGTGACGACGGCCTCCAAGTAAATCTGGTTAGTAGTGGTTCATAGTGATAGCTGATTTTTGGTAAATGATAGTTGTAATTAGTGACAACTGATAGAATACAAAACAGGCTAATCATTTCATTGGCAGAAAACATTTACATTTTGTGGAGGCCGTCGTCACTTGTGGTGTATGGTCTGCACCCGACGCTCTTCTCGTTTTTTGAAAGGGAGTATATGCCTGCTATATGTTGTGTGTCGTCATAGAACATCGTTTGCAAAATCTAGGTAGAGAAAATAAAATTTCGAAGAGAAAGAGCTCTTGGGAGCGTTCACCACCTGGAAGGCTACTGGTGGAGAGCGAAGCAAAGTGGTCCACAAAATCAGTGCGCGATGGAACACTACAAATTATGAGGGATCAAAATCCATTCATCCGCAAGTGCACGTGTTAGATCTCACCAGAATTAAGACTTGTTTAAGGGGAGCTCGAAGCTGCTAATTCTCATTCATCGTTCCCCTTTTTCTTTCTTTCTTTCTTCTTCTTCTTCTTTCATTTCTTCGTTTGTTGCTCTTGCGAAGCAGATGGTTACGGTTAGGGTAGCCATTCATTTCCAACACGGATTCTTCAGTCTTTGTGCGCGAAGCCACTCTCATAAAGGCGAATACTTACTGACTAATAGCAAAGTGTTAAGCATATTGTCAATTCCCGATGAATTCCAACACCCGACGTCGTTTTGTGTTATTTCGTTTCTGTCATTGAACGGCAGAAACGAGAGCAGCAAGGTCATTCCGGATCTCGCCCAGTGAGAACGAGCAGCCTTGCTTCTTATTACATGCCTGCGTGCATGCGTTTAAGGTGTGGACACCTTTGTGATGTTATTCAATTTATGCAAAATCGTAGTCATCCAAAGATGCTTGAAGCGCTTTACGACTCGCTTTCTTTCCACCCAGATTTCCTTCAAATTGAAACTCTACCATGTTTTTCAATCTCCGTGGAAGTCGAAACCAACTCTCTCTCTCTATACAGGCAGTCGAGAAAGTTTGCTTGGGTTCGATTACTCCACAAAGATGCGCTACGCACATAGATTCTCACTCCGGATCGCACCTTTAATTGTTTGCGTTCTGGCCAGCACAAGTGGACTGGGCCAGTTGATGACCCAACACCGTCTTCTTCCCCCAGTCATAGTCTAATCGTCGGCCTACAAGTGTGATGGGCAATACGACCTGTGTGTACTTATCTTTGAAGGCCAATTTTACGACGAAAAGGCATACGAAACTAAGTTAGAGATGGTCAGTGATGCACGAAAGAAGACAACAACAAAACGGCCTAGAACCCGAGAAATGGGGTCTTTCCTTGCCGTTGATTTCCGCATTGATGCAACTCTCATCGGTGCTGCCCTCTTCGACGTTAGCACTCTCACTGCCGAACGGGAATCAAACAGCGAGAGGGGGCGTTCCGCGCCAATAGCGCGCCAATAGTGTCGCGTTTGAGGCCATGATATCGACGGGGGCGTACCTTAGATGCGAATGGCATGATAGCCACCTTTAAAAGGTCCGCCTGCCTCTCCGCTAGGTGTTTCTCACTCTTCGACTTTCATTCTTATCGTGGAATTTTCCTTCAAAGGAGAGATCCACGATAAGGTCCAAGGTCGAAGAAGGGACGTAAGGGAAAGGCAGGCATACCTTCTAATTGTACGCACCGACACACAATTCACAGCGAACGATATATCTCGGCGACCTAGTATGGCCATTCCCGCTGCGCTATCGATGCGGTACACCTCGCTCTCGCTGTGTGACCCTCTAGCCTTTTAAGGCAGCGATTACGATATGTTCAAGAAGGGTTTAGAGGAGACGTGGTGGTGCTCAATGGTACGTCGGTGGCGAAAAAAGCGGAGAAATCCGTCAAAAAACAAAACGGGACCCCTTTTTTGGCCGTTGGTTTTCACTCATGAACAGGTAACAGCTCAGAAAGCGGACGTATGAACGAGTTCAGCGCAACGCGTTTGGTGGCACCATGCCAAACCACGCTCCAATCGAGTTGCTCCAGTTGTGCCGCTGCTGGCAACGCAGCTCGTCCAAATCACCAACTAAACTAGTGGGCGGATCGCTTTTGGGGCGGAGTGCTTTCGAAGTCCTGCTCAGCAACCAGCGCACCTTTCGTCGTGAAAGCGCTCGCTTCCTTGGCAGCCAAGTAACTGCTTCGTGTGGTGCATATGCTTCCCCGATGCGCTCCCTCTTTATCGTAATCGTTGCCTTCAATAGAGAGAACGCTAACGTTGACGAGGGCAACACCGATGGGAGTCGTATCAATCCGGAAATACACGGGCAAGGAAGGGGTCCTATAAGTCGTTCTGGGCCAACTCTCATGATTTTCTTCAGCTCGGCACCACTGACCATCTCTGAACGATTTCTAATGGTCTGCTTTCTTGCCGTAAACCTCGCCATTATATCCTTCATTCATTATCCAAATTTGCCGATCTTGTGAATGAATTTTCCGACTTTTCGTCTTTTCTTTTCATAATTCATAATTTCCATACTACCTGACTCACACTCTCCTATATAACATCGACATTTACTGCTTGCGTGAACTTCATATTTCTGTAAATAGAATAAAGCCTATTAGTGTATACCAGGTGCCGTAGAATAATTGGTACATCTACGAATTAATGGCATTTTGAAACGAGATTCCAATATTTTAAATAAACTTTCGTTCCTTATTCAGAAGTTAACGTCTCTTAACATTTTGGCGACTTCTTCGTCTGGAGCGCTTGGCTCCTCCATCAAATGGACGATGAGTTTCAATACTACCAGCAGTACGGAGCCCGTCTTCCTTCATACTTCTCCGCCCCATATCACAGGTTAGCTCCTTCATTTGAACAAAGTTTGGTGGTATTGTTTGGTTTATTCACTGTTGTTTATGCCTACCGCAAGTAGTACGGAGAAAGGTAGAATATATTTGTAGAAATAACAGCATCAGTATAATTAGGCGTTGAGCATGTGTACCCAGGAGAAAAAAAACGCGAAGGTAAAGTAAACCAGGGTTCGGCGATAGGTGGGAGGCGGAAAAGGGGGAGATATATAATATTTGGTCGAAAAGCAGGCAGTTTCCTTGAGGGTGCAGGCAATGCGTGTTCCGCAGCGAAGAGTATGCCCCTTGCGGCTCGGCAGGGCTGTGCCCGTTCCACTCCTTCTTCTGCACGCCCTCCATATTTAACACGTTGACGACATCGCGCGTTTTGGGTTTTTGCACCGCGTGGGACCAGAGCGATTTTGCGAGCGCCGCCGCCGCACACAAATCCATGGATTTTGAGCTTTAATAGTGTTCGATCTGTCTAGCTTATCGGGAGTTACAGTAATGGAAGTTCGACCGAAATGACGTGTTAAGGCCATGAAAAGGCAAATTTTACTTACTTTCCCTTTAGTGGTTCCAAAATTAATTTGGACGTGGTTGTTTCAGTAAAAACACATATCTTCCCATACGAATAGGTTTGTATTCGCTTCTATTATTCCTTTTTATCACATGTTCGCGTTAATGAAAAGAAAACGAGGAATGAATTGAACGGATATTTTCGTAGGTCTGGAAAACCTCTGCCAAACTAAGAATATTTGGTCATTCTGTAAGCCACGTGGTTCTTGGTTATGTTGATGTATGACCTATAAAATGAACACAAAAAACTTGGGAAGAAATCGAGCATGTGCGCAAAAAATAAATGTAATTGGTGTGGCATACATAGTTGCCGCGCTGTCGTCAAGGTGTTAAGCCCTCGCCGTCTGACTTTCGCCATTCAGCAGAGAGAGCGTGAGCGGCACCGTTAAATGCGGAAGTTAACGAGCAAAGAGAGGATGCCGTTTCTTGGGCTTTGAGCCATATTTCATGGTTTTTACTAAATCCCTACACCACTGACCACTTCTACCTTGATTTCTGTCAAACTACCTTTTTATCGTGAACTCCGCTTTTGGTCATTAAACAAAGCATATGCACCTATTATGCAAACTCTTTAGCGTTTATTTAGGCAGCATTGCTGAAGGATTTGTGGGGCAGCAAGATCAAATCAAAGTTTGAGGTGAGCCTTAAAAAGGCTACGGAAGACAGAGAAAGGGCGAAGCGCGAACGATAAGGAGGAGTGAAGGAAAACACTGCCAGTAGACTCATAAGAATGCTGGGTTATGAACAAAACCTCCTGTTCTGACGAGACTACTAAAAATGCTATACAATCAGAAACAAGTCAAAATTAAGTGCCAGTAGTATTGCGAACTCCATTCACATATGAAGCCAATTTGAAAGGAACGTGAGAGCAATCTGTATTGGGCGTTGCTGAATCATGACTCGGCCGGGTTGCGAGTGAGGTCATCCGTGAAAATGGGGTGAAAATTGACCATTTTCAAAAAAGGGGCAACGAGATAGCTCCATACTCCGCGAATGGACAAAAAGGTGTAGACCTATTGCGCTATTTCTGGGAATTGGGATTCTCTTCTTGAGGGCGACCTTCTGAGCTCTGACCTTCTGTCCTAGAGAAAAGTGAACCGTAAATACATGGTTTGGTTTGTGGGGTTCACAACCTCTCTAGCATTTTTCGATTGATGTAATGGCAGCTCGGCATTTAGCCAGCCATTAATCAGCTCGAATCAAGGTGGAGTGCCGCTATTGTCACGAGAATTCAGAGTTATGAACAAAACTCGCCTCAAGAGAGAATCGAACCGCTATAGCTTCCCGAAAGCGTTGCGATGACACTACTAGGCACTATTTTCGCCTCACAGCTCAGGAACCACACTTGCATTAGCAGCTAGGGTTACGAGCCAACAGAACGCGCCTTTCCTTGCAGACTGCCCCGTCATTGCAGTAGGAAGCAACGCTGCCGAAGTAGCAGCTGCGGAGGACGTTGGCGTATAGGCACTCCAAAATCAAGGAAGAGAGTAGTTGTGCATCACCTTCAAGAAGGAGTCATTGTGGGTATTGGCGGCAAATTGTTCGAAGTTCTCATTCATGAATTTTAGAGAAAACAAGGAGTTACTGATTTTCCAGCACTGTATTTATGCTTCCGATCTCGACTGATTTTAAATGAACTTAGTGTGCTAATGCTCGAGTCGAGTAGCAGGAAAGAGGTCGTAGGCACACCTCCGAAGGAATTTTTCACGGGGAAGTCATGATTCTATCTCACCAATAAATTAATGGCTTAAGACCCATCGTTCACGATAAGAACGGGAAGAACAAAAAATTGCCATTGTTTCGGTAAACAATTCGAAAAACTGGAAGGCTGCTACGCGTTCAAATTGCCATCGGGACAAAAGTCTGGCGGTGTCGGGGTGTACGCTTCACACGGAATTCACGAAGCGCTGCTTATTAGGAACTCTTATTGAGCTTCTGACTTATTCCAGTAACATCTCGCACTTCTACTGTGTCTTACTCTGTCGATCGTTTTGTCTCTAAAATCGCATGCTTTAACCCGATTCTTCCAATGTGTCGCCTGGTACGCCGAAGCGAAGCGCATTTCATTCCAACCCCACCTTTGGCGCAGCGCACCTACCTTCGACCGTCTAGTGTGCTATTCGTGAGTTTGCTTCTCTTTGGAAACTGAATTCTGGTGCACAAATCTTTGTGTGTTATCTATAGTGATAGCAAGTGACACATAAGGGACATGGGGTTGAGTTAGTCAAAAAATACTGTCAGTACCATGGCGTATACTAGCTTGGCGCAAGGAGTGACTACCAATCTTTTCTCTCAGTCGTAGCCCATTCAACAACACTAGTCCCTCTCTGTATTTTGGAGTCTATCTCGAAAGGGGCGGAAGTGGTGTAGTGGCAAGTGGCACGCTTACCACGCGAGCGGTCCGGGGATCAAATCCTGGGTCGTGAGTCGCCCGGGCCAACCAAGCCTTCCATCCCTCCGGGGTCGGTTAATTGGTACCAGACTTGTCTGGGAGGATAAAAACACTGACTTGTACATCGGCTGGCCCCCGCAAGTCATTGTATAGGCCACATCGCATTCAAACGCCACTACGAATGTACAAATGGAAGTAGAATGCGTGCCGCATCCCAAAAAGGGATTGATCAACGGCAAATGCTTTATCCTTTTATCCTTTATCTCTATACAGGGTGGCTACTAAATATTGGCGCATGGTTTATTGACCATATTTTTGCAAAGAGAAACTATTACATATTCAGAAGTTTATTTTTATATACAGTAAAACATATCCATGCATCACTGAAGAAGGTGCTCGAAATGGCCTCCCTCGGCAGTGATACAGGCTTCAAGTCTCTTCTCAACTGACATCACCGTGGGCCGCAAGTAAGTGACGTCAACGTGACGCGAGAAGATCATCACACTGGAATTGGCGCACAATTCTCAAAAGGACAGGCAATTGTTGGATCCGGCTAGCAGGCATTCTGCTCGACGTCGTGCGCACACAAGGAGCCGATTTCCAAAATCTGTCATGATTTAGGCAGGAATTACTTCCGACACCGAGACACCGTTGTCTTTGTGGACAAATCCGTCAAAATTAACGCCCAGGAAACAATTTTACGTGATGTGCTCGTTCCATGGACTGTTTCGACCTCCAGCAAATGTCAGTGCCTTCTTCAGCAAGACTAGGCGCCTCCCCATGCCGCAAAATCTACGCTGGTGTTCTGTGACCGCCATTTTCCAGGTTACTGGTCACCAGAAGTTAGGCCATTGCCTTCTAGGCAACAACGAAGTTTGGACTTCCTGAAGGCTTCCTAGGAGGAAGCGTTGAAGTAACTCGACGAAAACTGCTTGCGGCCCACGGTGATGTCAGTTGAGAAGAGACTTGAAGCCTGTATCGCCGCCGGAAGGACTTCTTTCCGAGCATCTTCTTAGTAATGAATTGTTATGTTCTACTGTATATAAAGATAAACCTCTGAAGATTTAATAGCTTCTCTTTTTGGAAATATGGTCAATTAACCATGCGCCAATATTTAGTAGCCACCCTGTAGTGTAGTTGCTAAGACTCTTTGGTTGTCCGTCTGGGATAATTTCGTCCAAAGAGAGATTGTACGAAAATTTTATCGCCCTCTAGTTATTGAAAGAGGACAGCTGAGAGGTGCAGCAGATGGCAAAGGGGGACGATAACTTATAGGAACTGAGTGTTCAAAACGGCTTCCATTCATTTTTTGCACCCTAGTTTTAGAGCGGAAAGGCGGGTTACGAACTTGTCGTCAACGGAAATCTCTTCTTTTGGATGATGAGACACGGACACCTACTTTAGCCCCGTCTTAACCCTGCTGTTCGCATAAGCCTACATAAACCCTACCCTGGGTGGCGTAATACACTGGCCGTCCGTTATGGGTTAATATCATTTTCTGCTGCGCTAAACCCTCTTACCTATCTGCACCACGATACCACTGCTGTTACTGACCCCCAAG